GCAGCCTTCTCAAAACTGGCACGTGGATTCTGATGGGTCCCTAGAACACTTACCTGGAAGGGGAAGCCTGTACTACAAGGGGTCTGCCCTCTAAACGATAATTTTGGGGTTTTGGGGGTCTCCTCATAGAAGTTACTCATCATCCCTCTACCTGGTGATAATCGTGGTGGATATCTTGGTGCATTTCTTTCCTGAGTTGTTTCTTCAGTACACACAATGAAGATATTCAGATGAGCGGGTTTCAAACCCAAACTCACACCCTGTTCCCAATCCTGCATTCTGGGATTTTGCTTTTTTCACACTTAAAACAGCAAGGAGAGCATTTTCCCATGCCATGTCCTTCTTTTCCACTGTGGCATTTCTCCAGATGTGGCCAGGAAGTCACCAGCAGCAAAATCACACAGGGAGCTGCTCTAAAATACAGGTTCCAGAACCGCTGCCAATCCCATACAATCATTCTCCGAATATTGCATGCTCTCCCCAGGCGATCTGGATGTGCCATACATTTGGGGACCATTCCCCTATGCAGAGGTGCTCAACAGGGCTGCATGCTTAAATACTGATATCCGGACTTAATAACATCTTCAGCAGAGAAGGTTTACAGTCAGGCCCCGCCCCCTCCCCTGTGCTGGTGTTTTTCTTAATGCAAGCTGACTGATAAGCAGTGAGGGTTGGGAACTGCCCCCTTTGTGTGAACAGGGCTCTCCTGCCAAGACTGGTAAAAACAAATATTTCTTGTGGGGTGAAAATGCTGAAATGTTTTATCACCAGGATAAAGGCTCACTTTGACTCATAGTCTAACGTGACCCAATTTTGACTTAGCTTCCTGCCAGGTTTTATTTCCTCGTTTAAAATCTTTGGCTGTTGGGGCCTTCTGTGTGGTGGTCCTAGCATTTGGGCTGTAGAGAGGGTGGCTTCAGGAAGCTCCCTGCTCATTCCCTATATTCTGTCAGGGGAGGAATGTCTGCCCATCTCCTCCTCACATCTTTCCTCTTTATTGGTCTGTATGGAATCCATGAGTAACAAACATCTCTGAGCTGAGCCATCTGAAAAACGATCTGAACTCTGCTGCATTTCCATGTCGTTTGCTGCTACTGATGGAAGCTAATGTGACTCTCCCAGGACAGCATGCACTAATGGGGCCCTACTGCCTCTAGGATTCCATGGTAGAAGGGCAGGTATCCTAGCAGGGAGGTGATAATGTGGGCTTGTAGTAGTGGGCAAATCCACAGCCCTTATTTTCCAGGAAGAGGCAAAAACCTCTTGCAAGTGTCCTCAACAAAACATGCTGCAGTTTAGAATGGGATCATCTGTCTGCCCCCACTCTCTTCCTGAATTGCACTGGCAAAGCTTGACCTGAGGAAGGGGGCCATGGGGATTCATGGAAAGTAAAGATAATTTCCTGATGCAGAGAACTCGATTCCAGCCCTGGTGAAGTGACCCACTCAAGTATCTCACCCTCTCTGTGCTTTGAGATCCCCCAATGGTATGGTGCAAAAACAAAATCGATCTTCTGACTGAGGCAGTGGACAAAGGAGAAAACGGTGGGAATGAGACTGTAAGAAAAAGTCACCACGTGATGGCCATCCCTCCTCCATCAGCCCACCTCAACATCTCATAATATTTTATAATCCTGCCTCATTGAAAGGTATCCTGACGTTGATCTGCTCTGTCAACTTCAAACTGTCTTGTAGAACTCCAGAACCAACTTTCTAAAGGAAATCTAATCCAACAGGCCCTCTAAAAAAAAAAGGTCAGTGCTGAAGAGCTCTCATCAGCGACAGCACCAAGTGGCCATCCAGGGACAAGACAATGGACGGATGTTGCCTCTGTCTGTTCTTCCACCCAGAACCTCATCCTCTATCTCCCACAACAGCCCAAACCACAGAGGGGAGTACCCCTGAACTGACTCTAGGGAACACTTGGGGTGTCACAGAGCACAGTTGGACAACCACTAAAACAGCCTAATGCCTCCTGTTTTCCAGATAAGGAAACAAGCACAGAGAGGCAAAAGATGGGGCTGAAATTGAGATTTCTCAATTCCATTGAAGGCTTTGAGGGAAGCATGGTGATGGAGCAGCTGCTGAGTGTCTTGTGCCAACCTCAGGGACATGAGAGGCAAATGGACCGGAACCAGCCAGGGTGACTACGTGTCTGCAGCCTGGTACTGGCCTTCAGTCGAGGGCCCTGGCTATGAGAGAAGCAGGGGCATGGAGCAGGGTGGAGATGGGACTACTCAAGATGGTCCCTTGGGCTCTGCTTGGCATATGGCTGTGAAGGGACAGCAGGTATAGCGGTTAAGAACAGGGGCTGGGAGCCAGACTGCCTGGGTCTCAATCCTGGCCTTCACCACTTCTTAGCTGTGTGACTGGGGTAAATCACTTAACCTCTCTGGACCTCAACTTTGTCATTTAATATGTAGAAAAAGTGTGTCCTTAGCTTCTAGTGCAGCTGTAGGAGTCATTAGGATCCCTGTGAGGTGCTTAGTTCAGTGCCTGGCACATGGCACATGTTCTCACAACACCAGCTGTCATTGTCACAGGAGTCTAAGGCCATAGGGTGGGGCGTGCTCCTGGTGATTGCCCCTTCCTATCATCCTACAGAAATCCTTTCTAGGGAAGACCAGGGAGAGGAGGGGTGGGTGAGAGGAGGAAGAGTCAGGAAGAGACTGCGGCCTTCAGCTCAGCACATCCTGCCTTCTCAAGCAGTTCTGGGCAATCTGGGTCACAGCGGAGGCGCCAGGGCTCACAGGCTACCATTGGCTCTTCCTCAGGCAAGGCGACTCCTCTTGTGAATGGAACACAGATGAGAAGCTGCTATTTATGATGTGGCAAGTCAGAGAGCCGTGAGGGCATGGCAGGAACCAGGAGGCCCACAGGGAGAGCCAGCACAGGTGACTGCCAGGCAGGGCTGCCCAGAGCCCTCTGGGGCTGTGATGCCCAAGGCCCTCCCATCAGCTCTTATGCCCACCATGTCCACAGCTGGGGCTTGGCCTGAGGAGCCCAGCTCCACCTAGATTCACTGGCAGTGTCTAGAATGAGTCCTCATTTGAGGGAAGGGCAAGGAAATGACTTCAAGCTGTTGGGAAGTGACCACAAAATAAATAAAACCGAGATGGAAATAGGATGCCCACAGGTGTCACTGCTATGTACAGCCTTGTCACTTAAAGTGTGGCCAGGGACAAGCAACATGTGGCATCACCTGGGAGCTTTCTAGCAATGCAGCACTTCAGGTCCCACCTCAGACCTGGCAGAATCTGCATTTTAACGCGATTCCCCTGTCATCTGTGTGCACATTAAGTGTGAGCAGCATCAGGGGAATGCCCAAGAAACCTGGGTTCTAGTTTTGGCTCTGTCAAGTCCTAGATGTGTGACCTTGGGCAAGTCATTTAACTTCCTTGTGCTTCACTTTCCTCACCTGTAAAATGGCACAGTAGTGGTGTCTACCTTCTGGTGTGGTAGCAATGCACTTCATACCATGCCAGACATCTGCTAGGCACTATAGGAGTGTATGTGGTTATTACACACTACTCGGCTCTCAGTGCAGCTTGCGTTTGCTGGATGCATGCATGGGGAGTGAGCTCCCGTCCTTCAATCATTCATTCATTCATCATGCACGAATACCCATGGGGACCTGGTTCAGCTCTGGGCACACAACAGACAGACAAGGTCCCTGGCCCAGGGGGACTTAGAGTCTAGAGGGAAGCCAGAGAGTGTTTCACAGTTGACTAATTATTTAATGCAGAGAATCTCACAGCTACTTACAAATGTGACGAGTGCTATGAGGAAGGGCAGGGCTGCTTTTCCAGGGAAAAAAATTGGTGGTTTAGAGAAGGCTTTTAAGAGGAAGTGGTGTCTGAAGGATGAGGGGACTCTGGGCAGGAAAAGTATAAAAGTGTGTGTGTGTGTCTGTGTGTGTGTGTACACACGATCACAAATCTGTATGTGTGTGTGGGCAGGGGGGCGTACTCCAATCCCAAGGAACAGAAGGTACAAGACAGGCGAACCAGAACTGGAAGAAGGCCCAGATACCTAGAGCAGTGGTTCTCAAACTTGAGCCTGAGTCAGAATCCCCTGGAGGGCTTAAATCACAGATTGCTAGGCCCCGCCTCAGAATATCTAATTCACAAGTTCCTACATGACATCGAGGCTGCTGGTCTGGTGACCACACTTGGAGAACCACTGAACTAGAGCATGAAATTCAAGAGCAAGAAAGAGAAAAAAATTCAGGGTTTCACCTGGGGCCAGATCCCATGCAGGGTTATGGAAGTCGCATGGATCAGTGATCAGCCCAAGGCTTCAAAGTGGGGTGGCAGTGACATGATCCAATTCTTGTTCAAGTGTCACCATGACTGCAGCAGGGAGGACAGATGGTGGAGAGTGTCAGTGAAAGCAGGGGCCTGTAAAGAGGTTACTACAGTCATACAGAAGAGAGATGACGGTGGCTTTGGCTGAGGTGAAGATAGAAATGGGTAGAATCCAGGAATGTTGGGGAGGCAGAGGCAAGAGGATTTGGTGACTTGGTTGGGTCATAGAATGTCAAGGAACATCCCAGCTTTCTGGTTTGAGCAAGTGAGTGGATGGTAGTGACATTTCCTGAGACTGGGAGGCAGGCTTGCTGAAAGCATTCCATTTGAAAGCATGAGTTTGAGATGGCTGTGAAGACATTCAAGTGAGTGTGTCATATGGACAGTTAGATACACAGATCTGGAGTCAGAAGGCAGCTTCCAGGAGGAAGCGACAAGAGGTAGGACAGACTAGGTAAGGTTCTTAATCTGAAGAGGTAGAGTAGACCAACTTGGAAGGTCTGGGGAAGGGGGGGAGGTCTTTGATATTCTGAAAATGTATCAGAATTGTATGAGTGTATGCCTTTTTCTAGGGGAAGGGCCCATGGCATCATCAAGTGCTCGAGAGTTTGACTCAGAAAAGGTGATGACCATCAGCCGGATGCTGGTGGTCTCCAGTCCTATGAGGTCCTTGTGACCCTGTCTCTGCTTCCAGGCGCCTGGTGGACCGCCTGGAGACCATGAGGAAGAATGTGGCCGGGGATGGGGTGAACCGCTGCATCCTGTGTGGGGAACAGCTGGGGATGCTGGGCTCTGCCTGCGTGGTGTGTGAGGACTGTAAGAAGGTACTACCACCCTCTTCTCCCTCCTTCCCTGTGCGGCACCTGCACAGGGGTTAATCCTAGGCTCCTGCTTGTGGGGTGAGGGAAGAGCTGGGTTTGGGGGATGCAGCTTAGATCCTGAATATTTTTTTCTGGAATGCTCCCATGTTCAACTGTCTTCCAAGGCAACCCTGAGACTGCTTCCTCCCTGGAAGACACTCTGATCTTTCTGTCCCCTTAGAGATAAGTCCGTCCAGGATGAACTTAGGAGCCCATGACAAGGCATGAGCTAGGACTGAGCCTGCAGCTACCCTGGTTCTATCTCAGTTAAAAAAGCATGTTAGGCACGTGTTTATACATGTGTGTATGTGGAATGCTTTCAGCATTCTTGTACCCTGGGTTATGGTACAAGAGACTTAGAAATTCTCTATCCAGCTAAATTAGAATCTTTTAGCTTTGAGAACATTCGTTCTCAAGGGAGAGTCTCTCTGTGTTGTCTTCACCCTCTGCCCTTTCCTTAAATTGCCTGCACTTGACAATTCTGGGGCAGAAACACAACTGCCTTAGGGTCTGCCTGACTCCAGGGAGTTCAGGTGAACAACCCAACTGGAAATAACCGTAATGTCACTTGGCATCTCTTGCTTGATGTCTCATTTGACATTTAGAATAAAATATTGCAGAAAGTGTATCTATTCTGGGAAAACTTGCCTGCTGCAGTCAACCAGAGAGGGAGAATTTTGTAACCCATTCAGTTTTCTTATTTGTCTTGACTTCTAGGAAATTCCACTAAAAATAGAATGTTCTATGACACAGCCATGGCATTTACTCAGATAACTTTCTGTTCCTTGGGGCATTGAACTTCTGGTCAGAGTCTAGGTTGTCCCAGGTCCATTTTGGAGATAAACAAGAAGTAAATTAATTACTGAATGCCTATATGGCCTTTCCTCTTAAAATATTAAGTTGCAACCTACAGGAACTCTTAGATAATTCCTTCATTCAGTGCTTGGGATTGACTTGAGTTCTTGTTATTGGAAATAAGACTCAGATTGGAGGAAAATTCTAGACCTTTACATCCACCAAGAGAAAGGAGAGATCTGTTGCCACCCCTCTCAGTTCTCTCCCCCAAGTGCTCGCAGCTCAGAGTGTGGCCCAGCTGAGTGGACACTGGTTGTGTTTTGTCCCCAGAATGTGTGCACCAAGTGTGGGGTGCAGACCTCCAACAACCGCCTGCACTCGGTGTGGCTGTGCAAGATCTGCATCGAGCAGAGAGAGGTGAGAAGCACCCCCCTTGCCAGCTTTCTTCTCCTTTCTGGAAACAGGGCAACAGGAGGGCATGTGGAGGCAAGGGTCCTATCGGGTCTGTGTCTTAAGAGGTTAGTATGAAAGGTACCAGCTCATTTTTGAACGCCAGCAGAATGGGCCCTGAGTATTTGAGGGATTTCTTCTCTCCTCTGTTTCTGTGATTTTTTCTTCTCTCCCTCCCCCCATCCCTTGTTCACTGCCCTCTGACCACCTTTCCTCCCTCAATCTCCATAACTCTCCTCCTAGGTCTTCCTCTCCCTGCATCCTGCCTTTCTCTTTCCCTCTATTCCATGGCTTTCTCCATGTTTTCTTTCCTCACATTCTCCTCTCATCTTCACCGCCTTCTCTTCCTCTCCCTCATTCTCTTCCTGTCTCACACTTTCCATGCCATTTCCCCTGCACTTTCTCTTACTTTGTCTCTTTCTCCCATGGCATCTTTCTCCTCCCCACCCCTGCTTATTATGTGTTTGACCCCAGTTAAGTCCTTTCTCCTCCTCCGGCTTTCTCCATCACTCACCCCCTGCTGCAGATTCCTGCCTTTGAGATGATGTCTCAATGGCCATGTTCTCCTCGGTATCTGTTAGGACCCTGGCAGGAAACAGCTGGCACACTTCAATAGGGGAATCAAGAGTTTGATAAAGGTGTTCTTTACAAAGATCTGGGCAGAGCTAAGGGAAATCAACAAAGGTTGGTGAGTCACTCCAATATCAGCAAAAGCAGGGTTGCTGTTACCACTCTTAAGACTGAAGGGTTGGAGGAGGGAGGGGTTACCAGGCTGGAAGGCAGGTGTAACCTGACAGGAATGCAGTCACTTTCCAACTAGCTGGAAGGGAGCCAAGGAGATGAATACCACCCCAATCTCCTTCCTGCTGCTAGCTCTTCCTCTGCACAGAGAACATTTCAGCAGTGCCAACTTTGCAACTGGTTTTGCTGACATTTCTTACCAAATAAACCTAAAGACCGAGGTCAGGTTACTGTAAATCCTAGTAGTCAACCTGGGACAGAGAGCAAGGGAGAGAATGTATCTGATGGGACAATGAAAGATGTTCCATATGTCCTTCTAGGACACCTGCCCTGTTCTAATCCAAAGGGCCAAGAGGAAGGCCAGAGGTCTGAAGAAGTTATGGGGAGATCATCCTTTGTACAACAACCAGTGTAGTGGAGAGCACGCCATGTTTAAGAGATGGAAGACTTGGTGTTAAGTCCTAGATTTTCCATTCTCTGGCTATGTCCTGTTGGATCAGTCCTTAAAATTTCTGATATTTAGCTTTCTCCATCCATAACATGGGCACACCTAAGCCCTTTCTAATGAGGTTTCAGAGCCAATGGTGGCATTATTATGAATTGTGCAAAGCTGTGTGTATTGCAAGAAGAGTGTTCTGGCTGTTGTGTCAGTGTACTGTGGGTGGGGAACAAAGATAAGGATTGTCACTCATGAAGGTAAGAGTAGTCGTGCTTGGCTGCTGTGTCTTCAACCCCTACCTCTCCTCCCTAGGTATGGAAGCGTTCTGGAGCGTGGTTCTTCAAAGGCTTCCCCAAACAGGTCCTCCCACAGCCTATGCCAATAAAGAAGACCAAGCCTCAGCAGCCAACCGAGCCAGCGGCCCCTGAGCAGCCTGCCCCAGAGCACAAGCACACTGCCCGGGCTCCTGCTCGAGGTAGGACAAAACAAGCTATTCTTTTTTTTTTTTAACTTTTGTAGGTTATGTTTATTGACATTTACAGTTAAAACAGAGAGTTTTTTTTTAAAGTACACAGCACATATTCCATTAGCCTTCAGAGCAAAAACATTATTGTACGTGTAGCTTCTGGAACACTCTGCTGTATACTCACCTTTGAGAAAACGACAGTGAAAAGGCTAAATATTATTATTACATGTTAGTATTATTTAAAGATAGTTCTGGGCCAGGCACGGTGGCTCATGCCTATAACCCCAGTACTTTGGTTTTTAAAAAAATTAATTTATTTATTATAGAGATGAGGGATACAATTCAGGGTTAGGTATATAAACAATAATCATGCAGGTACTGTTGTTGATGAGGTATGTCCCTCCTTCCCCTAGCAGTTTTCCTCCACTTCCAATCCCACCCCCCTCCCCTGACTGTTTTCCACTACTGCCAATCACTTTCTTGCAGCATTATAATTGTTCAAGTTCCATTTATGAGTGAGAACATATGGAACTCAGTTCTTTGTTTCTGTGATAAATCACTGAGTATGATCGACTACAAATCCATCCAAGTTGCTGCAAAGTCCATATATTTGTCCTTCTTTATGGCTGTATAATATTCCATTGTGTATATGTACCACATTTTTTTTTTTCTGAGTTGGAGTCTCACTCTGTCGCCCAGACTGGAGTGCAGTGGCCACTCCTGGCCACCGCAGCC